GTATTTTTATAATTATTTTACTATTAACTTTAACTTTACTAATTAAGTAGCTATAGTCATAGCTCTATTCTTCTTACTAAAGTACTAACTTAAGAGAATTATATTTCTTACCTAACCTTAAGCTAGAAGTAGTAAATATTATATTTACCCTAAAGGTAGGTATTTACCTTACTTTTATTAGCCTTAGGTATAGTAGCTTATACTATTAAGGAATTAGCTTAATATAATAAAAGACTATTATCTAAGTAGGCCTCTTAATAAGATAATATTATAGCCTAGTAGGCTTATAATTTCTTATTTTTTACTTTTAACTTAAAATATATTATTATAGTAGCTTTTGCTTACTTTAAAAATAATCCCTCTAGAGATTTACTTTCTTTTTATTTAGGTATTCTACTTATTATAATATTTTATTTAGAAGTAGTTATTAAGAAGGCTTTTTTTTAAGAAGTAAGTAGTATTTACTTAGTTAAGTTCTTTTTTAGTATAACTAGGCTTTTAAATAACTAAAAGCTTTATAACTTACTATAAGATAGTTAAATACCCTCTACCTTACTATATAATCTTAGTAAATATAATAAGTTAATTTTTATATCTTTAATAATTTCTTTTACTATATATAAAGTATTCTTAACCTAGTAAAGGTTATTAGCTTAGCTAGTATCTAACTAAAAGCCTTATTTTTAGTTATTACTAAACTAGTTTAGTCTATCTTCATTAAATTCTATAGTTATAAAAGATTATAAACTATTATAAAGACTTTAAATTAGCTACTAGATTATCTTATAAAATAGATTTTACTAAAGCTATGTATAAAAACAGCTAAGTTTAGAGATCTATCTAGGTTAAAGTGCTCTTAGTATACTATATCTTTAAGCCTATTACTTTTATTAAAGTATATCTCTTTTTAGTATATAGAGGTAAAAAACCCTGTTCATAAAAATAATAAAAATAATAAAAGGAATCAAATAGTATAAATTAAAATAGTTATATTACTACTTAATATCGCCTTTTTAGTAGCTATTACCAGAGAGTTAAAGAAAAATATAAGTGTATTATATAAGTGTTAAGAACTTTAAGGTGTAGTAAAAATATAGAAATATATATATTAGCTAATATAAGTATAGTAGAAATATAATAAAATATTGTTTAGACTAAGGTTATTATCTTATAATCTATTATACTTTTTATTTCCTATTTAGGTAACAGCCCCGCTTTTAATCCTAGATTTAAAAAGTCTATTTTTAGTATAGACACTAATATGTATTGTATTTTATCTAGAGAAAAATACAATACAAATACAAGATATATTTACTTAATTATATTAATATATAGTTACTAAAAATAGAAACAATATTAAGAAACCCTTGTAATAATCTTTATATCTATATTAGATATTAATTATAGAATTTATTATCCTTAGTTAAGCCTTATAAGTACTGTATTTTAAAAGAAATATAAGTCTCTATACAAAATACATCTTTAACTCTCTAGCGATTACAGATCTAATAAGATAAAGCTAAGCTATAATACTAATATAGAGTAATATATTAGAAATATAAAATATAATAGTAAGATAGTAAAGTATAATAAGTAATAATAAAAAGCTAAATAAATAACATAAGATAAGATAAGTAATAGATAGGAGGTCTATCTATAGTTAACCCTCTCTTTATAAAGGGTTACCTACTAAAGGAATATATACCTAGAGCATATATAACGTATTACGTACACGCTATATATCTAGTCCCTACTATATGTCTGTCTCCTGACTATAGGCACTTACTACCTTATCCTGTAATATATATATAGTATAGACTTAAGCTAGGCTTAAGAATAGACTTTTTATAGCTTCTTTAGTAATTAACTTAGTATTAGATCTTATAATTACTTTTAGCTATCTTTACTAAGAACCTTTCAATAAGACTATAATTAATTACTAAAGCCTTACTTACGACTTAGAGTATATAACTTCTCGAAAGCTACTATAACTATAACACTATTTACTTAGTACTTATAGCCTTAGCTTTTACTAATATACTTACTATAACTAGCTAGCTATTATAGTACTTTAATTTACTAAAGGCTATATTCTATTTATTAAGCTATTAAAGTAGTATAAGATATTACTATTAGTAAGTAGGCTATTAGTTATTTAAGTAGATTAATAGAAATAAAGTAGTTATATTAACTATTACTAAGGAGAAAATAAGTTCTAGGTAGTAGTACTAATAATAGTTTCAAAACCTTACTAACTGGTATAGCTAGCTAGGACTTTTTCTTAAAAGGTCTACTTTTTATATATTATATTAAGTATAGTTCATCTATTATATATATTTTACTTTTCCTTACTATATAGTAAGGTCTTTCTTTGTAGTGAAGGCCTTTTACTAGGTCTTTACTAATACCTTGCTATACTTATTATAAGTATACTTTATATATTCTTAGTTACTTATTCTTACTTCTATATTTACTTTATTATGCTATTTAGCTAGTAGTTTAGTAGACTTTAAGTGTTTTATTTAGGAATTAATAAGTATACTATATTTAATCATGCTAGCTATATCTTTAATATCTTTTTAATAAGTAGTATATTTATATATCTCCCTATAATAATAGCATCTAGAGCTATTTAGATATATAAGGTTATATTTGTTAAGATTATTTAGTATTACTAAGTACTTACAATTTTAAATAAATCTAATAGCTATAGCTATAATAGCTTTACTTCTTACTATATATAGCTATAGTTACTAACTATAATATTCTAGTAGTCACTATAGCTATAGTAATTCCTAAATATATAATAAGCTTCTTTATAGTTAATATATATTATTACTATACTACTAGTAGCTTTATTAGGTTCTTTAGATATATATCAAGAGTTAACTAATTTATTATTATAACTTCTAAGTTAATATATTTCTTAACATTATAGTGTTTTATCTTTACTTAATTACTGTTAAGCTATATAAACTAGCTCTTATCTAATTATACAATAGTTACTTTTCTATTATTATTTCTATTAATTATTATAATAATACTTATATAGTAAGTAAGTATATTTGTTACTATTAATATATATTATATACTATTAAATATTAAATAGTAGAGACTATAGTACCTAACTTATTAATATTAACTATATATTATATAACTATAGTTAAAATCCTATAGAAATAGGCAACTCCTCTTCTTTCTTAGTTAGGATAGCCTAGGCTAATCCTAGCTATATAATTAGTGGAATTACCTGTAAAGTAGGGCTATTTTACTGCCAATTCCCTGACGATTCGCCGTAGGGCAACCGTGTATTCGCTAGTTAATTACGTGTCATTCCGCCACATTGAACACCTACACTACCTACAAACTGATTCTATACTCCCGTCACTACCTGGACAGGCCCCTGAGCTTTGAGCCTCATAACACGATTGCTCAAACTCATTACCACCCAGCCCATCAACATACCAAACACGACCATTTTCGGCCGGCTTTAATGTTGCGCACACCTGTTCAATGTCAAGGTAAGCATGTGGCTCTGGCAGTGTAGATGAAAAGAAAGGAGAGGGAAAGAAGGAGAAAGTAGGGGGATGCTTACTTGCCACAACATCGTGACGTTGGTTCTCGCTGGGTCTGGGTCGAATATTTCTTTCGACGTCTTATAGATTTCGCATGCTTTGCTCGTGAGACACTTGGCAGATGCGTTCTGGAGTTTACAGTAGCATTTCCCGTGGGTATTAGCAAAGGCTCTGTTTCATATATTTTTGTTAGCCGCGCATCTCTCCCGGCCCGATGTAAGCCGGCTGCTACGTACACCTGGATGAGACACAGTGCCAAAGTGAGGCATATGTGAAAAGGTTTGAGAATCATATGGCGCATATCAGCAACAGTCTCTGATGGTTGGGTGAAAGCTTACGAAGTAAGAATGAAGAGGGCCTGGAACGTTAAAGTTATAGGCTTGCGTCTTGCCAATGGGAAGCAGACTGCGGCAAGCGTACCGGTAAGCCAAGCCTTCTCGAGCGGTGCTTATTATTAGTCTCTTTGGACTTCCGGTGTGGACATCCTGGTCCCCATGTGGACCCGAGCGGAGGGGGTCGTAGGTACGGTAGACAGAACGCAGGGTTCATGACATGTCACGGAGGTGCCGAGACGGTGGCTGGCTCGCTCGCTTTTGACTACGCTCTGAAGAAATGCTTGTCCGCGTGATCCCCAAATGCGCCCCAGAGAATACCAGAGCCCACTCCGGCCCTAGCATGCAACAGGAGCATTAATAAACGCGGGGGAGTCGCGGAGAAGATACCGCCCGATTTGAGGCTTCTCATTCGAGAACTATAAGCAAGTGTGGAGGAGGACTGGGGCTGGGCTAGAAGCCCAAAACTAGCAACACGCGAGTCAACACCGGCGGAGCTAGGCGGAGCATGCTAAAAAGTCTGTCTCCACGGTATAGCCGGTGCCGCCCTCTGCAGCAAAGTCACCACCGCAACGGTTATATTGCCTTGCTCACAATACAAGTTACCTATGAACATGATCACGATTCTCTTTGCGTGAAATAAATCAACATTCTACAGTACTGGCTTTGTGGCGAAGCTTCTTTTTCCATATATGCTATTGATAGCTAGGATGGATAGTAGCGGTCGACAGTAGCCGTAGATAGTAGCAATAGTGGGTCGTTGAGAATTCAAACAGTGGCAGTCAATCTGTCTATTGTTTCCATCACGGCTTGCCCCTCACAATACACTGACAGACACATGCGTAGAATGAACCAGTAGTAACAAGCTCCCGTGATGCAGGGAATTGACTAACGACCTGCTAATAATCCCCTGTGTTACTCACTACTGCTTTTACAAGCCCAACACCCATCCACACCTGCTCCTCTGCCGACTAGTCCACGAATCACGAGGAACATGTCCTGCCCCAATGTCAAGATGCTATTCTGATGTGTAGGGAACCCACCTAAGGTGGTGGTGGCTTGCTTACATTTAGCCGGTGTAGACTGCATTGGATCAGTCGCATGTTTCCATATCTTGGTAAGTCAACCACGAGTCTTGAAACAAGTACGCTCCGAAGCCTTCCCAACCCGTCTTAACCTTTTCATCCGGCAGATGTTTACAGCTAGAAGGGTCGATACCGAGGCGGTACTTGTACGGGAAAGGATCGTTGCCGAAGTAGAGGCTCGTGAGGGCCTGGATGTTGCCATTCGCATCTTTCAAGTTCTCGACGATGCATTTCGAGCTGGGCGGGAAATGGCCCTTAAGGGTGCATTCCGCAGCCCCTATGCTTTCCTTCCATGCGATGTTGAGCCAGTTGGTTTCCGCCCAGTTGTTGGCGTAGCAACAGTCTTTGGCTATCGTGTAGGTGATAAAGGTCGCGTATGTGAGAAGGTAAATGAAAAATGCGGATTGCATGGTGATGTTATTAAGGGGTGTATGCTAAGACCTAGCAAACGGGTTCCCGGGAGAGAGTCGGTACATGTATTGTTGGTGACGAGTGCTTATTTGTGTCAGCGATTCTGGCGACTCGTATCAAGGTGTGAAGTTTCCTCTTTTATCTTTTTTTTTTTTTGGCGTTGTAGACAGGTAATATCAGACGAACCCCCAACCTTTCCAAGATAGATGGGAAAACAGTTCTAAAGAGTCATGGACCACTCGTTTGCCGGTCACGCGCTTTACATAGAGTTGCCGCATTTCCTTCGCCCCCAAGCCCCAGACCATATATTCCGTGTTAAGGGAATTAGTATTAATGCAGTACGTAATTTTAACACTTACGGATACGCGGGGCTTCTATAGACAGGAGGGGGGGCTAGATTTATTTTCAACGTATAACACTATTATTATAGACAAGGTTCCACCACCTACAACTTACCTCAAGTGCACTTACTTACCGCCACTGGTAAGCTCTCTTGCAGATCCCTATCAAATTAGGGGTTACAGGTAGAATGCCAGTGCAATTTGTTCGGCGGCCAGTGTCTAACCTAATCTAGAAGCACTGCCACATAGGAGCTAGAAATACCATATTCTGTCACCCTAACTCTAAGTAACCTAGACCCTAACCTAGACCCCAACCATCCTAACCACTAACCCTACATATCTTCAAGAGCCTACATATCTATAGTAAATACGTAGAGTTAGTGGTTAGGGTGGTTAGGGTCTGGGTTAGGGTCTAGGTTAGCTAGAGTTAGGGTGATGGAATATAATTATCCTATCTGTGTTATAGAAATGTGGTGGTGGTTGTAGTGCCTTCCTAAATAGGCTTAGCTTACTGGCCGCCAAACAAATCGCACTGGCATTCTACCTGTAACTACGGATAAATTGGGGATATATATCATTTGGGTAGCGGTTACCAGGATGACATTTTGTGGGGCTAAACTTGACTTCGTAAAGTATCCGTACTGGCTGAAGTCTCTCTTGCTTAACCCCGCACACCCCAGCTCACCCATCCTTTTTCTAAGTAAAAAAAGAAAACAGCTCTATCTGTATCTCTGTCAGCTTTAAGTGTATTTAAAGTTTAAAAATATATATTGGTTTTTAAACTAACTTTAATTCTATGTCCTGTTTCTAGAATAGGAAACCTAGAACCTAAAGTATCTACTTACTGAAGATAATAGTAGTCTATCTTCTTTATTTAGTCTATTAGCTGGATTAAGAGGGGAGAAGTATCCGTACTTAGGAGTGTGTGGGTCAGCACTTTGCTAATTATCAGAAAGCCCCGCAAAGTGTCGGCCTGTTAACCGTTGCCATGATTTGGTGGTAGGCAAGCCGACTTTCAGGGCGGGGCTTATTAAACCTTAATCAGTGGGATTCGAGCCGCTTGCGGGGACCCCGGATTCATGCGAGTATTGTCCTGGTGGATTCGCGCGATTCCCTCCTTAATCTTGCTGCTGCCGCCCGCTATTGAGTTCTTAAGCCCGATCTTGCCTGAACCCTCTTCTGCCATTTGGGACTAGCAGCTCTCGCTCCGCAACCGCGATGAAGTTCCTGAACCCCATCACTCTTTTTTTCGCCCTAGCGATTAGAGCGTCGCCGTTGAACTCGGATATCGAACAAAGGGACCTAACTATCGAACAAAGGAACCTGGCTATCCAGCATAGGGACCTGGCTCTCAGACAAAGGGATCTGTTGAGCGATCTGAACCTGACGATTCCTGCTGTCCCCGCCGATCAATGCACCTCCTCCTCTCCAAATGGGTACGGCAGCACCCTCTGTCGATATTTTACAGCCGGACAGTCTTGCTAATCCCCAAAACCGCTGAACAGCATCCAGCCAGGCTGCTGGCAGGCTCTAGATATGAACAACTACCTCAGCGTATGGATCAACACCTGCCTCAAGAGTGCCCCAGCCTAACAGGGAACATTTTAGAGCTGGTGGCAGAACAATAGCGCGACATGCAATTCGACAAATAGAGGATTCTCCCGATGTTACCTGGAGATGGCGGTATGTAACTGCACGGGCAATACTACAAGTTCCTCTGACTAATCCAGTTATAGGGACTAATCACATGGAGTTGCGACTTTATAAACATCAACGGGTGTATTCCGCCACCCAGCGGGCCTGAGATTGCCTATCATTCCCCTCAAGAATTCTACGTTAGCAAGGCCCTTAAACAACCACCCTGTGCTTAAGACTCACTGACCGCTCCTGCAGACTGTGTGGAACATTTACGGTTGGTCGACGCTCGCGGCAACTGATTCGCACCCGTCCTTGAGTGCCACCACTGACTGTTGTGACACCCAAAGCCATCAATCTCTTCTTCTCTAACTACCATCAAGGCCTTATGCAGGGCCAGGCGGCTGCCATGTACGTGGTCCCCATTCCTTTTTTCTCGATTTATGCCTGCGTGCTATCTAACGTTTCTACTAATAGCGGAGCGGTTGCTGAAATCGTTAAAGTCGTTGCACCTCCGGTAAAGAAGAACACTTTGACTCCAAAAATTGGCCCCATTTTTGGTACTGTATCTGGTTTGATCGGTGTAAGTCAAGACCCAGGGCGTTTGTTTAATGCAACAACACAAATTTACAAAGTCTGATACTTGTGGGTATAAAAGGCCATAGGTCCGCTCATCGGCACGTACATGGGACTCCCATTCGTCATACCCTTCCTTGTCTTATTGACGCCTTTGGGTAATGTGGGCGGTTTCGTCAACATCTTGTTCCCGTCCTCGGAGGTCAGCCCAGTTCCATGGGAAGGGCTTTCGGAGGCTTTAGGAAACCAAGTCAATGACTTTCAGAAAAACATCGGCAAGGCATTGAATGCTGCTGAGACCGACTTTAACATATTCTTTGGCCTCACCTCGAGCGGCTTGTTCAGTCAGGTGAGTTGTTGACCACAGGTCACAGTTTGTGTCCCTTTATGCGACTGTTCTAACAACTTGGTGCTAGAAACTCACTACCAACCTTCCAGAAAACACAGATTTTATGTATCATAACCTCTTGAAGTGGACCTTCAACAGTGCCCTTGAAGCAAACAATTACTTTGTTGTAAAAAAGTTAGTTACGGCTGCTTGTAAACCCGCTTTTTGATTAGCTAACAAGACTGGTAGCCCTGGTGTTGATCCAACCAAGATACCGATCGAGGCCTATGACTGCTCAAAGCTTGACAATTTTGGCACTTGTGGACCAATCTGGTATGACGGCTTGGACTCGTACGGACTTGCCAGAGTTAACGGTATGTTATTGGGCTGTATATCCCGAGCAATCGCTAGTTAGACTAACCCCTGGAATAACAGACATTGGTATGGACCGCATGGAAGAGATCCTTAAGACAGCCTTCGCGAAGAACTGGACCACCCCACAAGAGCTCTATATTGACGCACAGAAATGCCGTGCAAGGAACTCCACCGAAGAGTTTGACATTCACGACCTCGGTTTAACCTGCCTAGTAAGTGTCGCTATGAACCTCTCGCGGCGCCCCTTGAGCTCGCCGCAGCGTCATTAGAGTGAGGTAATCAAGCTGACACGTAAATAGAATTATTTACCGGTTTGCGAGTTTGAGTTTGATATAAATCCGTATGAGGCAATCATGTATCACAGCGATCCATATCAGTTCAAGAATTGCCCTAGTATGAGGGGATGGGGTACTCCACTGTACTGGGATGACTTGGCAGGAGTTCCTCTCACGTATCTAGGTCCATTTTTGGTATGTTTAGTCCTTTTGAGTTATGCTACTGCTGAGTTCTATATGAATTTTGATAAAAGTCAAATGTACTAATAAAGAGAATAATAGATGTCGGGAGTAAGATATGGTGAAAAAGAAGGTTAGGAAAGTGTTACTCTTATATATAAAGACGTAAACAAACAAAAGTATGTATATCTCTTATACATTCTTCTAACTATCAATTCTTTAATAACTCATTCTTCTTTTAATATAAGTTTAATATTTCAAAACGTTAAAATTAAAGTACTTTAAATTATTAGTTAAGATAAACAATTAAAGAAATATATTCTATTACTATCAGAATTTAATAAATTACTTCTATTCTTATATATAGTTATACTATAGTAAGTACTACTAGTAATGTTTAGGGGCTTTTACTTAAAGATAACTAAGAATCCTACTAAACGAGGTGTAAGTATCCTAATATTAGTAAGCTATAGGCCTATAGGCTTAATATTACTTTTATATCTATTAGGCTAAAACCTTTAAAGCTAAACTCTCTTATTATAGGTAGGGTAATACTAAGGGCGGTTTCCCTAAAATAAAGCCTTATATTACTAATAGAAAGGCCCTCTACCTTTTTCTTAAGTAGTACTAAAGATAGCCTACCATTTAAATTTATTTTTATAGGTAGTAAATAACTACTACCTACTATAATTCTTAGCTATATCTTTGCCTAAGTATTATATATTAGTGTCTTTTACTTCTTAAAGTCCTAGTTAAAGATATATATTAAGGTGCTAATAGTAGCAAGCCTACTGATAGGCCCTCTAGCGCCTAGCTTACTAAATTAAGCTAGAATACTAAAAGATAGATAATAACCTTGAATAAGAGTATATTAGAGTATTTGACTTACCTAAAAAATATTTAAGGTTATGTATACTAAAGAAAAATAGTAAACTATAACTATATATTAACTATTAAAAGCTTGAAAATATTACTAAGAAAAGTAGTTATCTACAGCTACTTATTTTAAAATTATAAGATTTACTATATAAAGTAAATTAGTTTATATTAAATTAAAAGAGGCTTATAACTTAACTTGAATTTAAAACAAAGATAAATAGAAAACTATATTCTTAATATAGTAAGGTCTATTTAAGATGTACATTATATCTTTTAGACTGACTAATATACTAGCTACTTTTTAAAGTATATATAACTACGTTTTATAAAAGAAATTAGATATCTTTGTTATCTATAACCTTAATAAGATCTTTATTCTCTTTGAGAACCTAAATAAATATAAATAATATATATACTAAGTACTTAATAGATTATAAGAAGGCAGGCTACTAGTTAAACCTAAGAAAAGTAGATTTTACTAGTAAAAGGTTGACTACTTAGGATTTATAATTATACTAAGTAAAATTTAAATATAAAAGAAAAGGATAAAAGTAGTTTAGGGCTAGCTTACTTAAAAGAATTCTAAAGATATATAATTATTCTTAAGATTTATTAACTTTTACTAAGAATTTCTTAAACAATATATAAAGCAAATAAGACTATTTTAATAAGTTATAATATACCTATATAGTAAGTAAAAAAACATACTAAGTAGAACCGTTCTACTACTTCCTTACCTCTTTAACCTCTATATCTACTTTTGTTAATATATAAATATAAACTCTTCTTCTAAAGAAACCTAAATTATCTTTACCTCTTAAGGTATTTAAAGAGACCTAGAAATATCTTTAGAAATAGTAGCTAATAGGTTTAAGGTCCTCTTAATATATATTTATCATAAGATAATAAATATATTATATAAGATAATATATATCTAAAATTAAAGAAGATAATGGAAGTAAAAGAAGAACTAGTTCTTAAAAAAGTATTACCCTAATTAATTAAGGGTTTCTTTTATATTAAGATAATATATAATATATAACTAAGTAACTTCTAAATAGAATATAATATAATATATATTAGACCTAAAGAAGTAAAGGCCTTTATATAACAATAGCCTTAGTTAAAAATACAAGTTTAATATAATATTAATTAGTAAAAAGCTTTAGCTAAAGATCTTAAAATTATATAAGTCTAGTTTATACCTATATAAAGTAAGATTATAAAGTATAAAATATATATTATAATAATTATATTTTAATCAAACTAAGTTCTTAATAAGAATACTATTATATATAAACGTTATTATAACTAACGTATATATATAGTAAGTAGCCTATTATAGCAAGTGGCCTACTTCCTGTCCTTCCTTCCTCTCTAACCTTTACACTAGTATTTCTCTACGTACAAATATATAATCTTGTTTAATTAAAAGCCGTATTATCCTTACTATCTAAGCGATTAAAAAAGACCTAAAAATGTCTATATAAAACGTAGCTACTATCTTTAAGGTCCCTTAATCCTTACTTTATTACTGACTTACTAGACGTGTTATATAACATAAGACTTATCTAAATTTAAAGAAGATAACAGAGGTTAAGGAAGAGGTAATTCTTAAGAGGGTTATTAACCTAATTAATTAAGGGTTTCTTTTATAACAAGAGGACGTATAAGAGATAGCTAACTAACTCCTAAATATATATAACGTAATATATATTAGACCCTAATAGGTAGCCAACACCCCTTCCACGCTATGCATATTGTCAACACGCGTGCGAGGCCTCCGTGGGGCCCAGCATCGCTAACGGCACTCAAGTTCCCTTGATACATTGCGGCTAACCCAGCACATGGACCGGAGTACGGGACAACACGCCCGCGTAACACGGTGATTCCCAGGAGAATGCATTCCGCCTCTCTGATCTATAACTATTAGCCGCCTGTAATCTTATCTCCTCTCTTAGTACTAAAATAGCTAATTCTTAGCTAAATAGTATATCTACTTAAGTAAAAATAAATAAGTAATAGATAAGATTAGCCTAAATTAGTTAGACTATTTTAACTAGTATATAAAGTCTTATATAAAAAGTACTTATTAACTTCTAATCCTTAATAGCTATAATAGGTATAAATTAACTAAATCTAATTATTTTAATAAAAAATAAAGAATTATTACTTTATATATACTTTCTTATTTATTATAAAAGTATTAGTCTCTTAATATAGGTTATTTTAGCCTATTAAAGCTTTTATATAGTAAGGAAATTAAAAAGATAATATAAATATAGATTTTATATATTATAAAAAATAACTTCTTTTTTACCTTAAAAGTAGTATTATTTACTTTAATAAGGAAAAAAAATATATAAGCTAGCTTTAGATAAGCTAGCCTTATACTTTTTAACCCTAAAGTAGTTATTTTTTATCTAGATTTTAAGCTAAATACACTAACACCTTTTAGCTTATATCTAACTACCTTAGGCTTATAGGACCTAAAGACACTAACTATAGCACTAAAGGGTGTATAAAGTGCTAGTTTACTAAAAAAGAAGATCTAGAGATATTAAGAAAGCTTACTAATACTAATATATAAGGTAATTAACCTTTAAGCTAAAGGTATTAGTAAGTTAGTATATAGGCTTACTTTTATTAAAGCTAAGAACCTTAGACTTTATATAGGGATAAATATACTAATTAAGTACTAGAGAGCTAAGAAGACCTAACTATATCCTAAAGGGTTACTTAAGATAACTAAAGTAGAGGTATTATAAGGAGAAAAGGAGGGTGTTAAAGCTAGAGGTAGAAAAACATCCTAAAAGGAGGCTTATATAGAGGGTAGTAAACTATATATATAATAATATAGTAATTATAAAAAGACTAAATATAATATATAAACTAATAAGGTAGTTTAGAATAGTAATAAATAAGATAGTAATAAGTAGTTTTAATTAATTTTATATATTATAGTTTAATTAACTTATATAAAAAGTATAAAGTGTTATAATCTAACTAGTTAAGTGCTAGCTAATATAACTATATAGTGTAGAATAGGGGATAATAATATAGGTATATTATTACTAAAGCTTTTGCTTTATACTAAAGTTAGTTACCTTAACCTACTTATAATATAATAATACACCTACCTTACGTAGAGGGTATAGGTTTAAATCCTAGCGCTACTAGCTAGATTAGATCCTCTCTAGAGTCCTTAGCGTTCTAACTATAAGTAGTATGTATAGGATTAGTCCCTTATACCCCTACTAGAGTTTCCCTACTTATACCTATAACATGTCTAATTAGTCCTTAGCATAAAGACATACCTCTTAGAGGGGAGATATAGTTTTATAATCTAACTAGTTAGGTGCTAGCTAACGTAACTATATAGTGTAGAATAGGGGATAATAATGTAGGTGTATTATTACTAAAGCTTTTGCTTTATGCTAGAGTTAGTTACCTTAACCTGCTTATAACATAAAGGTAAGAGAAAGTAGGCTACTTACTATAATAGGCTACTTACTTTATATATATATTAGCTAGATAGTATGTTTACTTTACTAAAAATAACTATAAAATAAATAAAATTAGCTTTAATTATTTAAATTATTTTAATTAGTATATAAAGTCTTATATAAAAAGTACTTACTAAGCCTTAGTTCTTAATAGTTATAATAGCTATAAATTAACTAAATTTAATAATTATTAAATAAGCTTTTATATATTAATATATAAACAAGACATAAGTGTAAGGGTAAACTAATATATATTTTAGTAACTTAAGAGTTAATCCTACTTATTATTATATAAAGGGTTTTATACTTATTTATACGCCCTTAAGCTATTTAGCTATACGTAATATTATTCTCCCTATTAGCCTTTAGTCTAGGCTAAGTATCTAATAAAATAATTATCCTATAGGTATTATATAATTATATAATATTATGATTCTAACACTTATAACCTTTCTTTTA